TTGTACCACTTAATACTTATAACACCTATAAAGTAAGGACTATTTTTATTCCCATTTACAGATAGGAACACAAAAATATAGAAGTAACAATGACAGGACTGAACCCAGACAGTTCAGCTTCAGAGTTCACAAGTTTAACTACTGCAGTATATTGCCCTCTAAGAGAAGCACAATTCTTCCTTTTGCACTGCTCAAGGGAGACTCATGGACCTGAGTCTGACTACCCATGACAGACGTACGTGGTATATACTCATCAGAGCATGCCTGCAGAGCCCATTTGCGTCCATCTAATTCCAGTTCAATTGGCATTTGTAGAAAATCTACTGTATTTTAGGCATCACACTGTAATTTTACAGTGACTATCTCAGTCAAGTCTAACAGCTCTGTTAAACAGATATTATATTTATTTTAGAGATGAAAAAATTGAGAAGTAGAACCTAAATGACCTGTCTGGGTTCACATAATTAGTAAGAAATAGTGCTGAGATTTAAATCCAGACCTCCTGATTCTAAGTTCTGTGCTTTCAGTAGCCTTATAAATGTCATTTTTTTTTAAAGAATACAAGTCAGTGGTTGTTAGTATATTTACAAAGTTGTGCAAACATCTCAACTATTTAATTCCAGAACATTTCTATCATCCCCAAAAGACACTCTGCACCCCTTAGCAGCCACTTTCTATTCTACCTTCCTCCTCCAGCCCCTGGCAACCACTAATCTATTTTGTATCTCTGCAGATTTGCCTATTCTGGACATTTCATATATGTGGCCTTTTATGTTTGGCTTCTTTTACTTCGCATATTGTTTCTAAGGTTCATCTGTGGAGTAGCATGTATCAATATTTCATTCTTTTTAAAGGCTGGATAATATCCCATTGCATGGACATACAGTTTATTTACCTACTCATCAGTTTATGGACATCTGAATTGTTTCTATTTTTTGACTATTATGAATAATACTGCTATGAACATTCATGTACAAGTTTTTGTGTGAACATATATTTTCAGTTCTCTTGGGTATGTACTCAGGAGTGGAATTGCTGGGTCACATGGTAACTCTATGTTTATATTTTTGAGGAGCTGTCAAACTGTTTTCCAAAGAGGCAGCCCATTTTATATTCACAACAGAAAAGAATGAAAGCTTAACTTTCTCCATATCCTTTCCAATACTTGCTATTTTTTCTTTTTTTTTAATTTCAGCATATTATGGGGGTACAAATGTTTAGGTTACGTGTGCTGTCTTTCCCCCCCTTTCCCCACCGCAGTCAGAGCTTCAAGCGTGTCCATCCCCCAGATGGTGCACATCGCACTCATTATGTATGTATATACCCATACCCTGCTCCCCCCTCCCATCTGCCCGACGCCCGATAAATGTTATTCCTGTATGTCCACTTAGGTGTTGATCAGTGAAACCAATTTGCTAGTGAGTATATGTGGTGTTTATTTGTCCATTCTTGGGATACTTCACTTAGTGGAATGGGTTCCAGCTCTGTCCAGGAAAATACAAGAGGTGCTATATCACCATTGTTTGTTATAGCTGAATAGTACTCCATGGTATACACATACCACATTTTATTAATCCACTCACTTGAACGTTTATATTTTCTTTTTATTGGTATTATAGTCATCCCAGTGGGTCTCAAGTAATATCTCATTAAGGTTTTGAGTTGCTTTTCCCTAATTACTACTGTTAAATATACTTTCATGTGCTTATTGGCTACTGGCATATGTTTTCAGAGAAATGTCTATTAGAATCTTTGCCCATTTTTAAAGTGGTTTGTCTTTTTATTGTAAGAGTTGTTTATATATTCTGGATTCTAGACCCTTGTCAGATATATGATTTGAAAATATTTTCCATCCTTTGGATTGTCTTCACTTCCTTGAAGTTTTTCATTTTGATGTCATCCAATTTACCTATTTATTATCTGGTTTCTTGTGCTTTTGATGTCATACCTAAGAAATCATTGCCTAATTCAAAGTCATGAAGATATCCATGTAAATATCATTTTAAAATTAGGGTTTCAAAGACTTTCTCTTTTCCCACGAGGAAGAGATACATAATCACGAAGCTCTCTTTAGTTTTAAGCGAGCCTAAACCTCTATTTGGTGTTGAAATATTGAGCTTATTGGATAAGAACATTCAAATTATTAAAGAATTTATAACTTTACTCCCAAATTAATTTATGTTAAGTGCTTATTACAGGACATTAAATAAATTGTGGCCATTATTATCTTAATCATTATAATTGTTCTAAGAAATGTTAAGTCAATGCTCTGAATAAAATAACTAAAAAATAATAAGTTTAGAATTCATGATTAAGAGAAACGCATTCAAGGAAGAGACACATCAGCATGTGACAGCTAAGAGTTGGGATGGTGTCCTCGAGCCTGCTACAGTTGGCAACCTAATGGATAGCACTTGTACCTCTAGCCAAGAGTAAAGTCCCCTAAAATCTGGGACAGAAGGAAACCATTTCATACTTTGTTTTAAATTTCTTAGTTATATAAATGTACATTCAAGATTTTATGGGATGGCTCACCTATTGTTAGATCAATATATATTTACTTTTGGTTCAGGTTCTTTTCACAGAACTTGTAATTTGGACTTCAAGGGCCACGTGCCCCTTGACTCCCACCCTTACTCCACTGGAATCCACGGGGCAGCCTCCAGAGAGAATTTTAAGTGTGCAGACGACCACTTAGGGCTGCACAAGCAGTGCAACTCAAATACAGGGGAGTAGCAGAGTAGCAGATAAGTGTCTTGGAGAAGAGGACCTTTATCTATGTGCATAATAAATTCACCAAATTCGCAGTGGGGCAGTGGATGGGTATTCTCACGCCTTCCATGTGGTGGCAGGCAGCGTGTCCTTATCTTTGGCAGTATGTTAATCAGGTCTTCAAGTTTTAGGGGACTGATTTGGACTTCCTGGATTATTTTGGGTAGCTGTTAGCTCTGCACAGTGTTCATTCACTTTGTCAGTGTGGTCATGGTGATACCCATATACTATACTTAAATAGACACATACTAAGGGCCTATAGAAACCCTGATCTTTGTTTGTTTGAAATAAAGGTAATGGCATCAATGGTCATTATGAATAATAATGATTTAAAACACAGACTCCCTAATAGAAAAATACACTTGATGTTAGCCAAAAGGCTGAGAAGCAATCTCAATAGAAAAATAGATAAAATCAGAATTCACAGAAGCAATTCAAATAACCATTAAACGTAAGAAAAGCTCAGTTTTACTAGTAATAACATAAATTTAAAATTAAAACAGTGAGGCATACTTCTCATTTATTAGACTGACCAAAATAAGAGTGCTGGCCAACGCATGAAGATATGGCATTTGTATACCATTGCTGGGAGTGGAAACTTGTACAACTTTTTGGCATTAGTCAAGATTTCAAATGTACATTCCCTTTGATACAGACATTCCATTTCTGGGAAAGCATTTGGTTGAGCAGAAATATGTAAGTAGGCAAAGTTTTGTGTATAAGCATGTTTACTTCAGTATCACTGGCAGCACTGTAATTGGAAATGATCTATATTCCAACTAGAATTTACTGGCTGAGTAAATTCAAAATAGGATGTATTGTATGATTCTGTCTTTTAAAAAGTATGTGCATTTGTATGTGTGTGTTCACATACATACATATATACACATACACACATATAGATACATATAAATACATACAGTTAAAGAATATGGTGGGCAGTGATTACCTATGGGATGTAGGAATGGGGGAAAGATTTTGACTTTTTGCTTTATATATTATTGTAATGTCTGATTTTCTAAAAACATCACCTGTATCACTTTTGTAAGTTTTTAAAAAGTAAACCTATGGAGTTTATGTTCCACTTCAGGGATTGGAAACCAGCCAGCAATATACTGTGTACTAACTGCATGTTGAAAATATTTTTGTGAAGTGTTCACAGGATGGCAGATACTTTTCTTTGAGATAAAAGTGGTTTTCAGGATATCCAAGGCTCACAAATTAAGGTACATTTCATAATCATAAGCCAAGGAAATTATTAACAAGATTATTCTGCATATAATAGGGTTGATATCTACAGTCAACTAATGACAGACTTGGGACAATGACACATGTTTAAGTTCTTAGCCTCAAAATACAAGCTGGAGGAGGGATCTTGTTTTTGATGATAAACACAACATAAAAGCATCTAAGGCTTAGATGAACAACAGGTTTTTTGCAGGAGTCCCTTGGCAGTGCAGACATTACTCTCTATCTTAAAAGATTCAAAGCTTCTTCATTTAAGTAGAATCCCCAGAATTCAGCTCTCCCAGGGTACTCATGCAGTTACCAAACTTCTCAGATACGTCAACAACAAAAAATTACATATAAAATATAACTCCTTTGTTCCTGGCACTGCTATGTCCTTTCACAGACATATGGACACTGTTTAAAATTCAAAAGATTCAAGCCTAAATTTTCTCTTTCCAATAAGCCACATACTCTTCCACATTCCTATTTCTTAGCCTATAAAGGAGCTCTTATAATAACCATGCCAACTTCATTCTCAAATTGATACAAGGCTGAGATGTGGTCATGTTGGGTAAAGAGCTTTCAAAGCTTTGAAGTCCTCAACTGAATGGGAAAGTATTTTAATAACAAATGTGACTTCATATTATTTTGAAAATGGGAGATTTTCAAAGATAAGCCCTGGTTTACTAGCTCTTATTTAACAGAACTCTCTGGTTTATAAGAATTTTTAAAAAATGTGTTTTACAAAGTTTTATTATGTGGTAATCATTGCTGGCCATTTCTGATATAAAGTGAATTAGATGTAATTCTTCTACTCTGGCAGCCACAGATGATTTTATATAAACAGTATCAATGTCAAAGTCCAGAAAATTAAGGAACAGTCCCATTTGACCTATTAGAGATACCGCCACGACACAGACTGCAGAAATTCTTTACATCTTCTGCAACAATGAAATGAAACACTCCCTAAATTTAGTAAAGATGCTAAGAGGCAGGTATTTTGCAGACAAGAAAACCTTTTATTTTAAACCACAAATAGTCAGCAGGTGGCCACAACTATCCATGTTTCATTAAAATCACATAAAACCTAGATACAAAAGCACCACTGATTATTGCTCTAGAAAAACTGCATGAAAAATCCAAATATGCACAGTATAAACACCACAGTATGCACAGGACTAAAATTTTAAAGCAAATGCATGGAATGCTGAATCAATTTTACACACAGCTTCCAATATTAAATTGATATTTATTTTGCTGGAGGATGATGGAAATTTCCAAAAAGCATGACTATGAGAGGGTAAAATGTCCATCTTTATATATTTTTGTATGCCAACTAGTAGAGTCCTAAAAAATTAGCATTTACAAAATACTTGGTAAAAATAGCTTTTAAAAGTTGTCCCAAGAGATACATAAAATCAACCCCAATTTTTCACGACAATTCATTCTCCCTCGTTATCTACAGATTCAGTTTTCTGTGCCTGTGAAAAAGAAAGGGAAAAAAAAAAGATGTAGTTACTACTAAAACTACTATAACGAAAGAAAATTCCACCCACCAACACACACACTTCTGAACATTTTTTTTTTTTTTTTTTGCAGTATTTCAATTCTGGGTATAAAACAGACAAGGCAGGAATATATTACGCAAACACTTTGTTGCATATATTGCTTTCTGCTTTTTGAACAGCCACAGAAGCCTTACCTGCAAGCTCCCACTGTTCATAATAAAAAACACCACACTACTATCTGATTCTAGTCACTGCAAACATGCAGAATTTTCTACTGTACCCTTAACTCTCACTGTTTCAATCTGCCCCTTTACTGACAGTGTGCTGGGTGGGGTACCTCTGGAGGTTGAGACATTAACAGATGAGCGAGAGATGTGGATCTGTAATAACATTACAGGCAATAAAAAGAGACATTAAGAACATGCTATCACCGGCTGAAGGATTGAGCAATTTCTTTAAAGACACTGATTCAATCAGTGGGAGGTATTTATGGAAAGTACCTCTTCAGCTTTAGTTTCACCATTTTCAGATGGTGCAGTACCTTCCTTTCCAGCTTCCTGCTTTTCCTCCTTCTTCCCTTTAGCACCTCTGTTAAGCTTTGTTCCAGGTTCTTTCTAACGGAGGATTAGAGCACAGGGAAACAGAGCACGTTAGACATGGTGTGATGCTGGCTAAAATCAATCAGCCTCCATCCAAACACAAGGGGAAGAGCAACCATGGCCACCATGGTGGCCTTTAAGGAGACATGGGAACCTGATTCTGTCGGGTTTTAACTGAGTTACACCGAGTCTCTATGAAAATGTAATGGGCTGCTGGGAAACTCCCTTCCGTGGGAAACACGATGGCATCCCCCCTCTAAGGTGAGACGTGGCTCTGGCATGGAGGTGGCAGCAGAGATGGAGAAGGACCAGCCGGAGGCAGCCTTGCTGCTCCTTCCAGTGAAACACCTCTCGTGCAGACACGTGGCTTGCCCGACTAGAAAGCTGGGCCCAGATGAAGCCCAGATGAAAAATGAAGCCCAGATGAAAAAAAAGTCCCCGATTTTAAGACCAACCCATAGAAGTGAGTTCTGCTTCTGGAATAATCTACTTTCATACACATAGTTTCGAATAATTCGCAACATGGAACAATGCTCTCAAGGGTAGAGTAGGGCAGAAAAGCCATTTGGGGTAAATTTTCTACTAATTCTGTACTTCAGTTTCCTTATCCGCAAAACAGGATATTCAAATCCATCTCCATAGGGTTGATGGGAGGGTCATATGAGTAAAGCAATCAGAACAGTGTCTGGCACAGTATAAGGGCCATAAAAATGTTTGCTATCATTATTTACTGGATTATAACATTATCATTAGTCATGCATGAGACTGGCCTGCTAAAATCAGTTATATGAAGTCAGAAACCCCTCCCCCCACTCCTCGAGCTGGGGAGCAGGGTGTCCAGGGCCCGGCCTCACCCCCGCCGAGTGCCATGTGAACTGCATGTTCACCAGGCAGCTGCCAAACCCCCTTTGGACATGAGGCTTCTCAGAGCAACATATTCGGACTTCCTGTGCCTCACTGACCAAATGAAAAACACATTCCTGTTAAAGCATAACACTCTGTTTTCTGCCTTTTAAGAAAGCCTATAATAGTGGTAAATGGTTTTCTGGTCAGTACATTTCAGCCTGAATCATTAAGTGTGGACTTTTCCTTGATTTGGAGGTATGGAATTATAATTTATTCATTGTTTAAAAAGGCAAAGGTGGGAAAGAGCACCTCTTACCTTAGCAGATGTTTTTCTTGGTTTAGGTTCGGGTTTTGGTGGAGCAGGTTTCTGCAAAGACAATCAAAGTCACACAAATATTGAAAAAGACAACCATCAGCACCAAAAGGAACACAAAAGAACTACAAAAGACAATCTCCCAATTTGATTATAGCTTTGATCATTTAAAAAAATGTTTTGTCCTATTTTTAGTACCAGGTAACAACATAGAGACCTCTGCATTTCATAATTATTTTCACCCTGGGTTCACAAGGGAATAGCAGGTGAGACTGAAAAGCCAACTCGTTATCCCCTGGTCCAAAACAGCTCTCTGGAAACAGGTTTAAGCGCCTATCTCCGATGTGTCTGTACTTCCTTTTATCACAGCACAGCAGCAAGAGGAATGACTCAGGCCCTTGGCCAAATGACTCAATGAATTCAGTTGCACTGGCCTTCCCAACGGTATAGAAATCACAGCACAGTCACAGGCAAAAGCCCAACGGGTAATGAAGATGGCTGCCTGTGAAGTATTTCAAAATCATTTCCAAATCCTTCCACCTCTGGTGTAGATTTCAAGTGCTGTAGCCAAGCTTTTTCCTACTTCTATCCTCTCTGATGCCAGCTCAAGGTGAGAATCTCTGGCCCACCCAGACACTGGGCTCATTTGTCTCTAGAGCTCTTCATTAAGAACACAATTATAATGATAAGATGTCCACTCCCAAAGCTTAAGGGCTTTCACAGATATGATTAGCCAAAGAACCACTGGGCGACTTTTTTTTGCCTGCCTCGTGTGCTCCTACTCCAGTCCCTGCGAATGGTGTCCACAAGCCTTGTGGCTGTGGTGCCCCTCCACGTAAGGTTTCGGGCCTGGCCAGCTTCCCAGGGGCCTGACACCAGGTGGCACGTGGCAACTCTGGGGAAAGATAACCAGTTTAAAAGCCACGAGTTTTCTGTAGATATTTTAGGGCAAATATTTCTCTCCTAGAGCTAGAAAAAAATAAATGTACATCTCTCTTGGCACTAGGAGAATGGTTTTTGAATAGAAAACACTGACCAGGGTTTCCCCCTGTGGAGAAAAATACATGTTCCTCTCCTATTCCTCTCGGTGGTTTAGGTTCGCACTGAATCTGGCCCTTTTCATCAAGGGCATAAAGTGAAATTGTAGACAGTTCAATCCCAGAAGATTGGCTGTTAGAAATGACCTTTCAAATAAAAAAATAGAAAATTGAGCCTGAAAAGTAAGGAATGTTTATATTAATCTTCTTACCACCCCTAAATCTGCAGTCTGCTCCCCAAATACAGCAGCTTTTATAGCTCTTGAAGTTTTAGGATTTAAAAATTTTCGTTATTCCAAGCTTTGATACATTGCATTAATATACATGTTTTCTCAATTTATAGCAAACAATTTCCTTTTATATTATTTTCTGTATGACAGACCTTTCCCCCTGACCCAGCATTCAAGTGCTTTGATGGGACCAGGAAATGAGGTTCCGTAGTCTGTAATCCTGCTGACCTCTGAGGCTCTGGATTGAAAGCACAGGGAATGATTTCAGTGCTTCCTGGTGCTAAGGAAAAGCCTTGTTTTAAATTTTGGTTTTCATTTGATGTACATGGTCTATTCCCTTAACTGGCTAGAGATCCACAACATCACCCACAGCTCTTAAGTCTTCCTTTACGACTCTGGTATGGCTTCCTTAGGGGGCTCATGCGAAACGCTGGCTCACCCAACCCAAACTCAGCTATGCTTCTGAACTTGTAAGTGGTCCTAATTAATGCCCATTTCTGCTTTGATTACCTTCACTGTACCAGGCATGGGTGTGAGCTGAGCATGACCTTCCCTGAAGGCCAGAGTCGCCTGCAGTTCCTGTAGTATCTAGCATGGGGATACGTGCTGTTGGTCAAGATGTCAGTGCCTTTCCCCCTGCCTTCTCAGTGGGCAGCCTGGGCTGTAGGAATTTTAACCAAAGTCCTCCACCAGAGAGTCAGGCTGATCTGTCAAGAGGCCAGCAGCAGGGAGGAACACAACAGCCAGCAAGGAGCACGGACTGGTGAGGGAGAGCTGGAGCACGCTCAGGTCTGAGGCTCAGCCACACCTGCCCATCTCAGCTGTGTTCTAACTCTGAGCCCGGCCCACAGAAAGAGGCTTCAAGTGCAAAGTAGAATTATTACTTTTACAAAGATTCTCTAAGTCTGCAACGAGGCTAAAGTGTATGGACTCAGAACACAACCTTCAGAACACTCTGACACTGGACTGAAAAATGTTCTAAAGTATGAGTCGTGGATAGAAAGTCAGAATGCTGTCGACTTCAGCACATCATAGGTAGAATCTGAAGGCTAGGACTTTGCTTAACGTACGTCTTTTGTTTCTGAGATCTAGAACTGTCAAACAACATCCTGGGCTTTATATTCTTGCTAATGGGGCTGGCCACTGTTTTTCACTGACACATCTGATCAAGTGAATTGCTTGGCAACACTGGTTAATTCTGCTAGAAATGATGACCCCAGGTAATTTTCAGAAAGAAAATAAACAAGCTCATTCCTTTTGCTGCTTTGCTCTGGACAAAGGGAACATGTATTCATAAGAACTAACACCAAAGGGGTTCTACAGTACTTACTGCTGATAATCTGGCAGATCGTCTTGTGGGCTACAAAGGAAATGGAAAAAAAATTTTTTTGGTGATTATATACAACCAAGTTGATTTCAAAAATCCATTCTTAATATATATTACTTTGTTCAAAGAATATAATGTATGACTGCCATCACCCTCTGCAGGTAAGCACAGCGAAACATACTCCAAGTCTCCTGGGCACCATAATACTTGAGAGGAAGTATTTCTAAAGAGGTATAGGCACATTGTTCAAATAAGTGGCCCAATTAAGAGTGTAGTGAGTAAGAAAAGGAAAGGAAGATGAATTTAGGCTTCATCCCAAACCATAACCTCTACCTTTATGATAAAATCAACAGTGAGAACAGTGAAGTTCCATTTAAGAACTAGTCTCCAGTCTGACTATTGTTCCTAAAAAAAATGGAACAAAAGCTTTTAAGTTAATACAAGAAGAGATCTATGTAATGGTGTAGAAACTAAAATAGGAGTTCCCCTATCTTGCTGCTAGGTTGGAAAAGAAAATGACTAAAAATCTTGGGCAGTTAACAAGAGAGATTTGTTTTTACCTGAAACAAAATAAACATATTTATCTATAATATGAAAAGTCTATGTTCAAAGATTTAACTACAGTAAAAAGTTCATTAATCTTTTCTTTTAATCTCAAAGTTTCGAAAATTCAGAGAGGAACTGTGTGTAGAGACTGATAGAATTCTTTTTTTGTTTCAAGGATATCACAAGATAATAGCAAATGAGACTGTACAGAAAACTTAAAATAACGGAACTGTCCCTAGGCATTTCAGCAATAGCATATAGAATCAATATTTTACTGGCTCCCCAAGAAATTCCACATTCTAAAAGTGGAAATTGCCTATAAGTGTTCCATAAATAAATGTTCTATATGTCTTGTCTGCTTTGTTCATTGCTCTATCTCCAGTACAACAGTATACTACCTAACACACAGCACATACTCAAGACTTACCTGCTGAACAAATGGATTCAAGCTTTCTCCTAATTCTTCCTGCCTCATGCAGACTTTTGCCTCATTACAATAGCTCCAATGTTTCAAATGATTTTTCTTAAGGGGGTCGGCAAAAATGGTCAGTAGGAACATGTGCCATGATTACGAGGAATCACGGAATTCTTGAAGTGGTGTTTAGGTCTGCTTAGGCCAGCTGGTCAGGCCAAACTGGAAGCAATATTTCTTACCACCTCCACATCTAAGAACTTTCTTGCTGCACAAATAGAAAAGCTAAACTCATCTTTCTTTAAACTACAGAAAGAAATGAAGGGCCAGAGCCTCCATGAATAATTTTAACCCTGGGGTCTCCGGGAAAGATCAGAGATGGACTGAGGCCAGAATGCGCCGAGAATAGGAGACTGCAGGTTAAGTGACTGGATGGGACACGCTTACCGCACAGAGCAAGAGGGCACAAGGCTCAGCATACAGCCTGTGGATTAGTGTGGGAGGAGCATGCGTGTCAGGTTCTCCACGGGGAGCACCCCAGCACCCGCCATGATTATCATCGGTGCATTCCATGACATCCCAATCCCTCGCGCTCAGAACCCAAATCCTACAATAACTTTCCCAGGCTGGTTAACAGCATTAATTATCAGCAAAGAAAAGGCAACGTTATACATTAAAGCTGGCAACAAGCGGGTATCTCGTGCTTCTTTAATAAGCCTCCTGAGCACACGGGAGCAGAGGAGCACCCACCAATTACTGAACACGGCTCAGCTCTGAAGCTTCGGCGTGGCCTCAAGAACTACCTACATCATCTCTCAAGGAAAGTACAGCAGGCAGAATGATACCCTCCAAGAGCAAAAGTGGCAGCTTCCGTGCTACAGAGGTGAACGGACCTTATCTGACTCCCTCCCCGCTTAAGGTCAACTCACGTGTACCATGTTGGCCTTACCTCACTGTTCAGCCCACCTGACTGGCGGCTGACCCCCTACCACACAGGACCACGTCTCGTCTTACCGTTCTGTAGCTCCAGTGCCGAGCAGGGGCCCTCAATAAACGTTGAAATGCACGGAAGGGGGAAGCAACAGCAGCATACAGCAACTATGACCTTGGTGTGGGGGACTAGAGGTCTAGTTTGGGGCCAGAAAAGGGGCCAAACCTGTTAGCTATTACTCAAAACTGCCTCCCTACACAGCTGGTTTTCCTGAGTAAAATCTCATCAAAGTGAGGCAAAATCATGTGAAAAACTCTCCAACGGTGACGCTCCTGCTCCTCTCCCCTCCCTGTGCACACCTGAACACACACGACAGGCTGAGTGATGTCAGAGAGCCTGTCGGGATGTCCAGAGAGACATTCCAATCTAAGCACTGCTTTGAAGGGCTGGAAAGCTGTTCTGATCCAAAGGACTTAATATCTTTTTATAATTCAGGTCCAGTACAAGAGTTCCAAAATAAAAAGCCTGGGAAATTATTGCAAAAAACAAAATTTGCCTCTCTAAGCTGTCTAAACCAGCCAGTCTCTAAAAAGCACATCTTTTACTGTAAAATCATCTTAGGACTTCCTACATAAAATTTACCAGCTCTTCTTTATATGCCATTAAGAAAAAAAAGACTTTTCTTAAATTTTCCTTTCCAGTAGCCATTATAAGAGATTTTCATTTTCACTGCAAACAGTGGTGGCTGAGACAAACCTTTCACTCACAGTCAGCAGTACTGATTATTCATGCAAGTGTGGATGCCTTCCTGGAAAATTCTACCAGCCTTTACAGCCTTAATATCTGTAAATGATTGGACTGTATTTATTGGATATGAAATAGATTAGACTGCTATTTTTTTCTCTTTAAAACACTAGTATTAGGCGGGTGAGGTGGCTCACGCCTGTAATCCTAGCTCTCTGGGAGGCCGAGGCGGGCGGATTGCTCAAGGTCAGGAGTTCGAAACCACCCTGAGCAAGAGCGAAACCCCGTCTCTACTATAAATAGAAAGAAATTAATTGGCCAACTAATATATACAGAAAAAAATTAGCTGGGCCTGGTGGCGCATGCCTGTAGTCCCAGCTACTCGGGAGGCTGAGGCAGTAGGATTGCTTAAGCCCAGGAGTTTGAGGTTGCTGTGAGCTAGGCTGATGCCATGGCACTCACTCTAGCCTGGGCAACAAAGTGAGGTTCTGTCTCAAAAAAACAAAAACCAAAACCAAAACCACTAGTATTGGAAGTACTCATTTGAGACTCAGGCTGTTGGGTGGGACTACTAAGGAAAAAAAATATTAAGAATTTCTCTTGATTTCTTTAAGTGTGAATCCTCAGGAAAAGTGGTCAAAAGAGTGGTTCTCAGGGAGGGAATGAAGGTTTTTAGAATGACAAGTCACTGAGAGTGACCGATACAATAAACGTAAGGGCCTGCCACTGTGGTATATAGATGCTAGGCACAAAAGAATTACACAGTATGCGTTCAATGATTAACTTATCATCACGCCCTGGGCCACAGAAAATTCTCAGGAATGCTTCTCTGAAAGATATGAGACTTCTACTTCAATGCCCTGGTTGCAAAAGCAACATAGATGTCTAACCTCGCGGTGACAAAGTTCACAGGGATAGCGAGACTCAAGCAGAATCACTGGACTTTGCTCAATACTGCTTGACACATATGGATCATTGCATTAGAATGTGGTAGTATTTTTATTTTTATGAGATTTTCTTTTGCTCCTGAGCCTGACCATGTACTTCCAAGAAAAACCCAAAGCCAAGCTGCTTTTATTTCTCAAAAACAAATGAGAAGTTCAATAGAAATTGCTCAAAACTGGGAAGCAGGGAAGGATGTACACGAGAACCTTGGCTGAGTAACAGAGAAGACAGAGAAATGGACACAGGATTACCAAATTTTTATGACTGCCACAAAAGGGGTATGGGGACAGAGGATTTGGAATCAGGAGATTCAGATATCTTTCCTGGTTCTGCTACTTCTAAGTTGCAATACCCAGGAAAAATCAGGTATTTCTCTGAGAACTTTGTTTGCTCTAGTTAAAACAGGGATAATAACACCTGCCAATCTGTTCTCAAAAATAGCACTTGTCTTGACATTCACTGTTCCCCTTCCTTGCTGTATTTTTCTACATATCCAATGTCCAAGTATTTTATTTCACTCCTTCTCCCCAACACTAAAACAGAAGCTCCATGAAAGCAGGGATTTTTGCTTCTTTCTTTTGCTGTGGGATCCACACAGCCTACAACGGTGCTTAGAACATTATAGGTGCTCGTACATTTTTGTTGAGGAATGAATCTTCCATCCTCTCATTTTGGAGTTACTGGATGGGTCATACAAAATAGTGGATGGAAAAAGGCTTTGTAGACTGTCAAGTGTAAAGAACATAATACATTATTTTGTTCATCTATTGTCCAGGTCTCCTAAAGTACTATACTCTGCATAATGCCCTCTAATATCATGGCAGTGGTAAAGCACTTTCAAAAGAGAATTCCCCTTTGTAATTGCTATCTATTCACTATAGTCAAGACTGTGCATACTCAATGACATAACTGGAAAATTCGGTCAATTCAGTGGAAAAAAAACCCCAATATATCATCTAACCATTTTTACCCTAAACCACCAGCTAACTGACCTTTTTCACTTTCCAAATGACTGTGTTGATGTCCTGAAGACATATCATGAGTTTTAATCTAGCCTTGGCTTAAATGACAGGTAAAGAGCTTTGTCTAGAAAAGATTTTTGTTAATAATAATATAAAATACCTAAAACATTAATATATAGAATATAAAAAGCATAAAAATAAATAAAAATATAAATAATAAAAATCCTTGGGTTAAAATAATATGTGTAAGATAGCAGTGTAAGCAAAAATACACACATATCCTTTATATATATCCTAACCAGCTTGATTTGCATTTAGTATATAGAGGGGATTGGGAAGGCTATCAAAGATCTATGTACAACGGGTTCCAGGTTTTCCGACTGACAGATCAATTTAAATGCCAGTCCCTACGGAGAAACTCAAATGTGTTTTTGTGCCCAAATCTAAAGACATTAAGGTTAGTAGCTCTTAGCCAACTGTCCTAAAAATTACATTTTGCCATTTTCCAAGAAAATTTAAGCAGTTATTATTTTGATTGGTTCATATTTTTTGTTTGGGTCTCATATTTATCATTCTTTGATTGATTCTAGCATTTGTGTGGAGACTCAACTTTGGATCACAAACCTCACGATTATTCCAAACTGTCAGACACTGAATGCTAGGTACATGGACAGTAGGGAAAGACAGCTTTGTTTTGCTTTCAAATTATTTCTTTATAAATTCTGTTAATGAATTTATATTACAAATCTTATATAGGGGTTTTGGTATCATGACAAACTCCTTTGAATTATTAACTACACTATGAATCACCCAATCAAAGACTCTGTAACTAGATATTGTTTTTGTCTCACTCATGATCCCTTTCGGTTTTTAAGTTCAAGGTAACAGCTGCAGTTTTCCACACACTCTAAAGCTCTGTGCAAAGGGAATGGCTGTCATCACAGTTACATCTAATTTCCGACTTTCTAGTCCATCTTTTTTTAGAGGTTCATAGTTTTTTTACTGTGGAGGGTCAAATGCAAGCACCTTTTCCAAGTTTCTAGCCTTTTGGAGGTGTCTGTATTTTAATCAAAGCATCTTTGAAACACTACCTAATTAGTTCTCCCAATACCCTAAGAGTTTTCCTAGTTTTAAAAAAAAGCTTTACTATTTTGACATATTGTGTATCCTTACATAGATTTGGACTTTAGAGATAACCCCTTTTAGACAAATATTCAGGACCTAAAAAGTAATTTGTAATTCACTCACTGGAGCAGGGAATTTATGAAATCACAGCCTTCTATTTTCTTGCTGTGAAAGGCAAGCTTTGTTCTCCTTGATGAATTTACCTATTATCTCGCCCTTTGCCCAGAAGGGATTCTCAGTATCCACTTCAACAGCAGAACCCACAGGTAGAAACATAAACAACACGGTGAGTGGAAAATGCCTCATCCATGTACCCAACTAAAATGTACCTAGGCCAAGTGAGACTACACACAGTCTCCCAACAACCTTGTTTATAATAGTTTTCATTATGATATATACAATCATAACTATCAAAAACTTAAATTTCAATAAATACAGATGCCCAAGATATACTTACCTCCTGTTTAGTTACTTTGGATCCATCTTTGCCCTCTGTATTCTCTGGAGACTAGAAAAAAATATTTCAGTGAATTGTATTTAAATAAGAAAACACATATTAGAGGAAGATTTTTTTTTTTTTTTTAAAAAGCTATTTTCAATTCCCAGGACCAGATAAGCTGACAGATTTTTTGCAGAGAAAAAGTAAGTTTATAACAGGATATGTTTTTTACACACATATGCGCACACAATGCACACTGCCCTACTTTTTAAATGGGAATGGTGAAAGAACTGATATGAGCCCCTGTTTTCAATGTACATTCACCCCAAGCAATTTTCCTTTATCTTTGATGACTCCACCATCAGTTAAAGAACAGGGACCCACAGTCAAGAGACAGGAGTGTCTGGAATCCTCCCTCCTGTTCTTGCTTATTCCAGTCACTCTGTTCCTTTAAGATAAGGGCAGGATGCTGGTAAGCGCATTTTCACCCCATCCTTGCCTCTCTTTGATTTCTAGCCCATTTCTTGATACGACCTGACAAATTTATCAAGGATTACTATTTTTCCATTATCAACTCCAGCATCTCTCCTGCACTCCCAGCCTCAGCATGACAGCCAGGCTACCTGCCCACCCCAGCTGATCTGTTTCCACATTTTGATCCATCCCCTGGGGCAGCACCTGCCCACTCTTGTCACTCTTGAGCTCTTGTCAGGAGCTCAAACTTGACTCCTTTACAGGCTGCATATAACTATGGAAACATACACTTTAGATTTTTCTTATATTTTAAAGTAAAATATACTTTAAGTTTATTAGACACTTCATATATCCCAATATGTTTTGATTGTCTAAGAACTAATGATAAATATGATTAAAACAATTAAACTAATTATAAAATTAAACACATTTTAAAACTACATAAACCTGAGGGTGAATATTCAATCTCTACGGCACAAATGGGTAGCTGATTTGAACAGAGCTCCCATTGGAAAAAATACAAATAGCAAACTGACATTTGGCACAGCAAAACAAAATTGCTATGAGGTAATGGCTCATTTGATAAAATAAGAACAAAATTCAAAAGATCGTAACACCCACTGTTTGGGGCTGGTGACACTGTAAATTAATATAATCTTTTCAAAGAACAGCTTGGCAATACAAAAAAGACACACAGGACTAATAATATGATGACCCAGTAATTTCAATTTTGAAACCAGGACTCAAAAAAAGAAACTCTTTGTAAAAATATGGTTTTATCTGTGGTATTTCTAATCTGGAATAAGTGGAAACAACTCACATGTCAGTAAGTATTAATAATAGAGAACTGTTTAAGTGAACTGTGTAATTATGAATATAATGGAATTAAAAAGTTAGGCTATGTGAATACATGAGAAGTGCATATAAAATAATGCTAAATTCAAAAATTTACATCATAAAATAGTAAATAAAACATAGGTCCTAAATATGTATTATAAAGTCTTTGGGAAAGACAAAAGCTTTTCTTCAAGGCAAAGGACACAGTGAACTTTCTCTATTCCCTGGAGCTGCCTCTTACCCAAAGCCTATTAGTTCCCCTCTCTCCAGAACCTTGCATGTCTGTGAACGTCTCTCCTGTTTCCCAAGTGACCAAACTATTTTCTCCCCTCCCATGGAACTTTCCCTATCATGAAGGGAAACAGAGCTGTCCCTTTTCTGTTCCCCACTCTCTTGCACAGGAATGTTTGGTTCATAATTTTGTGATACATCAGTTAGTTGAGATAGAGACAGCAAAATCTTAAAAAGCCTGACCATATGAAGACAATTCGTAGGTGGGCCACTGGGCTTTTGCTCATATCCATGGCTATAAACTCAACCTTTCTGGACACACACCAGACTCTCTCTTGCCCAGAAGTGCTGGGCTCTCATTCAGATCTGTCAGGTCACTCAGTAGATTTCAGTCTGGGTTACTCCCTACCCATAACTGATAGGCAGTTAAAGCAGCAGCACATAGCTATTATCAGAAAAAGTTGATGTTGAAGACATTATTTTCATATTCTTCTATGTAGTGGATTAGTGATAGGCAACAGGATCATGAGATTCACTCCCTAAACACTGGCCTAATGTTTGAACTGGATGCAAATTATTCAAAAACAGAAACTTGGAAAGACCCTGTATTAAAAAAGTAGGTATACTGAAAATGTTAATGGCTTCATAGGAATGAAGATAAGACTCTAGATGTAAAGAGCTACAATTCTAGGCAAAGTTAGTTTCTATTTACAAGCATGTAACACGTTTATAATCAGGAGCAATGGAAATTTACCCTGGCTCAGTGTGATACAGTGGCATGGATGCAGGATGTGGGCTCAAAAATCTGACTCGAATGTGGCTTTTCACTTAGGAGCTATATGATCTGGGGCAGTGAGTTGATCACAGTGGCTCAGTCTCTTCATCCCTGAATAACAGATGATAATGACAGCTAACTCAAAGGCTCATGCTTATGATCAAGTGACATGTTGGAGAAAGCATTTCACAAGCAGAATTGTTATACAGACGTTATGCAATAAAGATGATACAAGATCTTAAGGAGTCTTCTGAATTATAAAATATGAGACTATATTCAACACAGCCTTCAAGTTGAGCACATTTCCGTACACCCAGATACCCTGCAAATTGGTCATCTATTTTTGCTGCACAGAGTGGCAAATGTACTATTTTGGACAGGCCCACCATCATAGGCTGTCTCATCCCATCATCCTGTCCAACATTAACAGTGAGCCATGAGGTTGGAGACAGGAAGGAGAGGGTGTGGTGTAAAGGGATTAAAACAGAAGCTCAAAGCTTTTTGTCCCTAGGGATAATGAGCAATAAAGACAAAGAAAAGGAGGAAAGGAAGGGCCGGAGGTGTATGTAGGTGATTGCAGACGTACATCAACCTTCCAGCAGGTTGCTGTGAAGGATGAGGAGGGTTAGATGGGACTCAGGGAATGCCAAGGCAAAGGGGCTCCTGCCCCAGTCCCCAGGATATAGCAATCAGAATCAAGAACAGTCAAGAAGGCAAGAACTATGGTCACACAAAGAGGTCTCATTCACACAGCTGAGCCTCCCTCAGCTCCCAGGTGGCCTGATGCTGAGTTGAGAGCCAGCGAGGAGAAAGAGGTTACAGGGGATGTCAAGGTGGAGAGCACAGCAGGGGTTCTGAGGAGTCTGGGCACCACCAAGAGGTGGTCTGAGGGCAAGTCAGCAGACAGGTGGATCATTGAACACCTGGTGACTGGATCAGGACAAAGAATCAGCCAAGGGAGCCTGGACGTTGGCACTAAAGGATTATTCTAAGTGAACATGGTGATTCACAAGAATCTCAAAACGGCAGGTAACTTTGGTCAGCTACAAGCCAGAAACTTCACTGAGTGGATGAAGCTGAATAATTGTCACCCTCTAGAGCTGCAGTCCCCAAACCCCAGGCCGTGGACTGGTACCTATCTGTGGCCTATTAGGAACCAGGTCGCACAGCAGGAGGTAAGTGGCCAAGGAGTAAGTGAAGCTTCATCTGTATTTATGGTAGCTCCCCATCACTTGCATCACCGCCTGAGCTCCACCTTGTGTCACATCAGTGGCAGCATTACATTCTCATAGGAGCATGAACCCTACTGCAAACTGTGCATGCAAGGAATCTAGGATGTGTGCTCCTTATGAGAATCTAGTGCCTGATGATCTGAGGTGGAGCTGAGGTGGTGATGCTAGCACGGGGGCGTGGCTGCAAATACAGATTATCATTAGCAGAGAGGTTTGACTGAACAATAAATGTAATGCACTTGAAACATCCCAAAACCATCCCCTCTTTCCCCATCCATGGAAAAATTATCTTCCATAAAACTGGTCCCTGGTGCCAAAAACGTTAGTGAACACTGCTCTAGGGGCTATGTTGAAAAGGTACAGGAACCAGTCATTATCAAATAACCATGTCATCAGGTCCTGTCTTTGAGGAGCTGGTAAAATGCTCATCATGAATCTGATGGACACCTGAGCAAAGCAGGCTGATACACTCTGGAGGGATTTGTGTTAATCCCAGATGAAGGCTTACAAATTTGTTCCAGGGCCTGAGGGTCTAAAGAGTAATTGTCACAGCAGACCCTAGGTTCTCCCAGTAAATGGGAGAGCTAAATAACTTCCTTAGCTGAAGAGATGGGGCATCCTTGATGGCTGATATGTGTGTCAAGACATATCAGGACAACTTTTTCTTCACCATTAGAATCAAGGCTTATAGTTTTTCAGGACACATAGGTGGTATGGAGTATGGACACACATCAGGGTCAAAACGGAGAAAGTCTTTTTTCCTCACACCAAGTGCTAAAGCTGACACAGGCAAGATTTCTTACCTGGTCTCTCTAAGAGGTGATTTAACTTTTGTTTTTAGTTTCTTGTGCCGTTTTAGGAAGCTGCCTATGCGGGGATACTCCTGTGTGTTCTCCCACCCTCTGCTAGCCCTAAGCTTTGCTTCCTGTACCCTACAGGAAAAAAGGAAACAATAAATGTGGAACGGGGTGGGAAGGAATGCTTGCTCAATCTTCAGATTTGAAGATTTAATAAAATAAACAACATAAATAGCTAACACATAGCAATATGATATTAAAAGAGACACACCAAGAACTCAAGGACACAGAAAGCATGATAATAAATAGACAGTGAAAAATGTGTACTAAGCTAAAATTAATTAAAAACTAGAAATAAGCCAAATACCTATCATCAGGAGGATAGTTAAATGTATTGTGGTACATAATAAAACAATATGTAGCAGTCAATACTATGTAGCATGAACTATGGCCATGCAACACAGATGAATCTCACAAAAATAATGTTGGACAAAAAAGGGAAGTCATGGCATGATTCTAAATAAAGTTTTAAAATGCATATGGTAAGTGGTAAATCTATAAAGAAAAGCAAAGAAATGACGAATACAAAATCATACTAGAAGTTACCTTTGGGTAAGGAGGGGGGAGAGTGATCTGACTGGGAGACACAAAGTCATTGGTTAGTGTTATATCTCTTACGCTGGATGGTGAGCATAGTGGTTTATTTTATTATTCTTATTTAAA